AGGGAACCTAAATCCAGTGGGCGTGGAGGAAGGTAGAATCTCCACTGAATAGTATCCAATCCGCCTAGGTGGGACTGATGAAAGAAGATACGGATGGGTCTCTTGTGATGCAGTGGTGAATAATTGTTATCAGGACTGATTGTGAGGGTTGTAAATGTAAAGGTAGACATTTTGTGGCAAGGAGGGGCAAGATTAACTTTGCAGTCTAGGAGCAGAGGTCCCTGGGACCATGAAGGGAGAAGAGTGGAGAGCAGGACCCTACCCAGAGAAGCAATGATCCCTGGATTGGAAGCAGAGATGATGACATGGAGAGATGGAGCCGCTGGGGACTCTAGACCCTGAGAGGGAGAGGGGCTGTGTGCTGACAACTGGGTGGGGGGGGGGGGGGGGGCAGACTTGTAGTATGTACCCTTTGGTTGGTTGATGATGATGCATGGAGGGGATTGTAACCATGGCAGTGAAACGATATATGATAGGATGAATGTAAAACTAATGTTCTCCCATGTAAACTATCACATTATTCACAATAAAACATTAAAAAAATAATATGGTGGCCCTGTGTGTGAGGTGACTACTCACCTCAGCAAGACGAAACCATGTGCTGTTTGAATACTTGCCCTGTTTGGTTGTGACTCACCAGCTCTAATTGTATTCTCTTATTCCCTTACTGCAGTTACCGCCTCTGTGACCCTTCTGAAAAAGAGCTATATGGGAAATCGCCTCTCTTTGGACAGTATTTTGTTCTGGAAAACCCAGGGATAATCAAAGTGGGAGACCCCGTGTACCTGCTCGCCCAGTAACAGATAACATCTCTTGGAAAATCAGATGCCTTTAGAAAATGTCCATAAAAATGGCTGCACTTAGCTCTCAGTGTTTTGGAACTGACACCTCAGCATTTCCTATAGATGTGTGATTTCAAAGATGTCTTCTTTGTGTCTCAGGGCTTCTGGTGTCCTGGTGCACAAAACAAAAACATAGTTTTGATAATTTAGTAGGACTTCAGAAGGTCACTTAAGTGACAAGACGGGATTCTGAAAACCCCTTGTTAAATTATTATTGTGGAATCATTCATTCTCCTTCCTCTCCATCTAGAATGGTAACCTCCATCACCTCAATACCACCCCGTAGGGTGAAAGGAAGCACCTAGAAAGAAGACTGTTCTAGAATGCCTCATTATTCTTGTGCTTTGGGCATTCAGTGGAGATGAAATAACTCTGTACATAGGGCTAGAAAGCCATTTCATTATTCTGTATCTTGTCAAGTCCTATGTTAGCTTTTAAAGGGGCTTAAAGAACCTGACCTCTGATAACACTTAAGATGTTAATTTTTCATAGATCTTCTCAGATGGGTCCTTCATAGTATGAGGCACCCTTGAGCCTGGTGGTGTTGATAGAGTTGGTTCCGACTCACAAGAGCAGAAAGCCTCATGCTTCCCTTGCAGAACCACTGGTAGTTTTGAACTGCTGACCTTGAGATTAGCAGCCCAACTTGTAACCACTACTCTAGCTTAGTACAGCAGAAATATCAAAGTGAAACATGAACACACAAGAGCAGTGTTACTGCCAGACTCAGATCTAGATCTTGAAAAGGAAGCCAAGCAACTCCCTTGGCATGAAGCAAAATATCAAGTGTATTCCATTGTGATTCATAACCTTTCTGAAGACATGAGTCAGTAGTGACACCAGAGAAGGAAGGTGGATTTACTGTTGTCTGGGATGCTGTGTGATGTCTAGGAACTGGATGGTGCCCTTAATTGTTGTTGTTAAGTGCCATCGAGTAGGTTCCGATCCATAGCGAGCCTGTATTCCGAGGAGCGGCAGGTGAGCTTGAACCACCAACTTTACTGTTCAAGCTGGCCTTGCTGTTGCGGTGCATTAAAGAAACGTCCCTGAGAAGAGAAGACGCCACCTAGTGGCAGTGAATTACAGCTCAGCTCATGCTATTAAAAAGATTGAAAACGTGCCTGTAAGTGTCTTTTCTTTATCTATCCTGGAAAAGTAGAGTCCCTGGGTGATGCAAAGAGCTAATGCACTCAGGTGCTAACTGAGAGGTTGGGAGTTTGAGTCCACCCAGAGACATTAAAAAAAAAAGGCCTAACAGTTTGCATCTAAAAAAAAAATCGTTGTTGCAAACCCTATGGAGTAGTTCTACCCTGATTCACATGGAGTCACCAGGAGTCAGAGTTGGCTTGATGGCAAATGGTTCATAGTTTACTTGGATCTTGGACACATTTTTTAAAAGGATGTGGTGAATCCTCCAGGGGCTTTGCTTCTCTGCTCTAGTGTCACGTTCCTAAAAGAACTCAGGAAAGTAGGGGTGTGGTCATGAAGTACTCCTCAATCCCTGCTGGTCTTGTCTTGCATGATCCACCTCAAATCAAGGTGAAAAAGTTATTTCTTTGTGGATGAGCAGGAATGTGATTGCATGGATGGAAGTAAATCACTGAAAATCTTTAAAAGGTGAAAAGGGAAATGTATGTAGGCTTGTGGAAAAAGATCTCATTTCCTCCTGATTGAATTAGAACTCTAGGATATGATGAAGTATATCTTTTATTGACACCCTGTCTTTTTGTTGTATTTGAAATCTGACTAAGTCTTTCAGGAATATTTCCAAAACTGTAAATAAATGGAAGCTGCTCTGACTAGTTGGCGGTCTTTACAAAGTTGTTGGTAAAACCAACAGTTCTGACCAGGAGTTCTATACCTGCATCTCTGACAAAGCATACCCTAGTGAACACCCATCTTTGAAGGGCTGTTAAGTAAACATACCCCCATTCCTCCTACCCCTAGAGCTGTGCATTTCTCGCTTTGGTTCTATAAAAGAGCTTAGTATTAATGAGAGTCAATGGGAGCTTCTGTGTTGCCATGATGTTAACAGGTTTCAGCAGATCTTCCAAACTAAGATGGACGAGGAGAAAAGGTGTGGTAATCTGTTTCCAAGAATTAGTCAGTGAAACTCTAGGGTCACAACAATTGGATCAATAATTGTTCAGGGGGATGGTGGAGGACCAGGCCGCAGATCATTTTGCTGTGCATGAGCTCTCCATAAGTCAGGGGCTGACTTGATGGCAATTAAAACAGCAAAGGCCAGCTTTGAGGCAAAGTTACAAACAAGGAAAAGGAGTTATGTGTTTTCTGGTTGATAAATGATTGCCATTTGGTTTCTGCACACTTGGAGTAAGGTAGTGAATTAATGATCTTGATAACTTAGGCTGGCACGTTCCCCAATTGGTCCACTTTATGCTGAAACTACAAATGTTGTTGTATGCCATAGAGTCGATTTCGACTCATAGTAACCCAATGTGATAGAATAGAACTTCCCCGTAGGATTTTCTTGGCTGCAATCTATACATTAACAGATCTCCAGGTCTTCTGTGGAATGGCAGGGTGAATCTCCAACCTCTTGGCTAATAGCCAGGCCCCATTAGGGCTCCTTGAAACTACAGATATTGTTGTTAAGTGTCATTGAGTCGGTTCAACTCATAATGACCCTGTATAGGGTTTCCAAGGAGCAACTGGTGAGTTTGAACCTCCGACCTTGGAGTTTAAACCAACCTTATGGTTGAGTGCTTATCCTACAGTGCCACGCCAGGACTCCAAATCATTGGGGGCAAAACCAAGAATTTCTCAAGGAGCATTCTGGAGAACTGTGAGAACCCAAGATAGAATGCCTACAGGATTTAGGAGCTGATGTGACTATCTACTCTCTGAGTCAGCCAAAGTTAGGGGACAGATTTGATGCTTGTTGTCAGTTGCTGTCAAGTCAATTCTGACTCATGGCGACCTTGAGTGAACAAAACTTTGTCTGGTCCTACCCATCTACATGATTCTTGGTGTGTTTGAATCTGTTGTTTTAGTTACTGTATCAATCTATCTCTTTGAAGGCTTCCCTCATTTTCACTGGCCTTCCACTTAACCAAATATGACATTTTTTCTTTGTGATTGGTCTTTCCTAATGAAGTTTGCAAAGTAAGTGGTTTGAAGTCTTGCAATTCTAGTTGTATTTCTCCTAAGCCTTGTTTGTTCGTTCTTCGAACAATGTGAATATTCAATATTCTTTGCCAACAACACATTTGAAGGCATCAGTTCATTTGCCTTCCTTTTTTTAATGCAATTATCTGATGCATATGAGGTAACAGAATAGACCATGGTTGGGGTAAGACACATGTTGGTCAGCAGTGACATCGTTGCTTTTTGAGACTTTGAAGAGCTCTTTTGCAACAGATTTTCCCAATGTAATATGTTATTTGATTTCTTGACTGCTATTTCATGGATGCTGATTGTTGATCCAAGTAGACTAAAACTGTTGCAAATTTCTTTTTTGCTTGATGGCTTTTTATAGATATTTGTGATCAGTGACAAGCTGAATGCCTCAGACCTGAATTTTAACTCTTTGTGAGTAGTAACATCAACTTCTTCAGTGATCCAATCTGTGTCAAAGGCCACACTTCACACAGACCTATCATTCTTAGTGATCAGGGCTGCGGGGAAGCTGAAATTGCAGGGCAGCCCTCAAACAGAAGGGGTCACCAGGACACCTTCCTCATGTGGGTGGAAGTCTCCCTCTGCTCTTCAGAGTGAGGAAGATTCCTGTTTAAAGGAGAGATTCCAGCAACCTCGAGAATCTTGGAGTAGTTGCCAAGCCTCCTGTCAGTGAGATTTAAAAGCCATTTACTTATGTTTATTTTATATTTAATGAGTTGATTAATGCCAAAGGCAGGCTGATATCCCATTTATTTTGGAGACTGAATATTTGCACACACAATTTCACTTGAAAAAATAGGGTCAGAAATATAGACCATCACAGACGCTCAGAAAGATCTCCTTACAGCACCGTGTCATTGATATTCAAAGTCAGACCCAAACATCCACATTTGATGGGTGTTTCGTTCTGGGTGGCAACTTTACACTGTAATCCCAGCAGAGAATTACACACCCAAAGCTGAAGATCTCTGAAAGAACTGTGTAGGGAGTCTTGCTTTCATGGGTATTCCATTAAAAAGAGGTTAGAAATTCTTAACTAGGAGATAAAAACAGCAACTTATGTACACGTGGTAATCTCTATGTGGTACAGACAACACACTCAATTCCTAATCAAAAGGTTGGAGGTTCAAGTTCACTCAAAGGTGCCTCTATTATTGTTGTTGTTAAGTGCCGTCAAGTCAGTTCCAACTCATAGCAATCCTGTACCCTGTGTAGGATTTCCAAGGAGCAGCTGGTGGGTTTGAACTACCAACCTTGTGTTTTGCTGTCTAGTGCTGATCCTACAGCACCACATCAGGAGTCTTCTACTTCTGAAACCTCAAGTCATAGGGAACCCTATGGAGCACAGTTCTGTTCTGTCACACGTGTGATCATCATGAATCAGAACTGACTCAAAGGTCAAGGTGAGCCTAATGAAAAGTAGGTTGAAGTGGGAGATCCCCCTTCTCATCATTTCCCCTTATTGATATAAGGTGTCGGCTCAGGTCATGAGCTTGTGGGAGGTCTACTAATTGGGTGAAAGTGTGTGTGAAGACCTTTAAAGTGAGCTGGGCGAGCAAAATGTGACTCTGGATGCTATCTGTGAGGCTGTCACCCACAGCGATGGCAGACTCAAGTACCAGGAGATGCCCTCAGAATGCCAAGAGTTTGATGAATGGAGTCCATGATGATGGAGAGCAACTATGCAAGTATGAGAGTCACTTCAAAGCCTTCAGGCAGCTCTCAGACTAGAACAGTGTTGTAGTTCTAATGGGTAGTGTTGGTGCCAAGCCTAACAACACATTCCCCAAATTCTGTTGTGATTCTGAAAGTCTGTG